TTGGTAGATTTTACCTGCTGATTGATGCTGCACCTTCCAGACACACCTCACTGATTTCCTAGGAAAGTTATTGGCACAAATAGCCAGCGTATTCCTCTTCATTTGTTTATTCACACAGTTATCTAAGTGCAACCTCATGATAACCTTTGATACCTTTTCGATCCAACTCGTATGTCAGGAATAATCAGATCTTGGAGCCCTTTTTCTGTTGGATTCCCCCACACACACACCTGTTTTTCCCCTTTCTCACATTTAGGCGCTACTGGAGATACAACAAGTAGTGCATAGATCCTGACCTCCAGGAAGTTAATTGAAGTCTAGTGGGGTCCCAAATAAAGACGTCTAATATAGGGAAAGGACTAAGGGAAGTGTTAGGGAAGGCTGCGTGGAGGAGGTGGGCTTTAAGCAGGACCTGGAAGGATGAGCAGGGGTTCTTTGGGGGGCCTGGGGTTGGGTGAGAGATGAAGGCTGCTCCAGGCAGAGAAGGGCAGTCACAAGGCCTAGGGCTGTGAGGACGACACATCCCTCGCCTGCCCAGGTCTGTGAAAGGCCCACGACGTGGCACAGCCCCAGAGCACGCCCTGATTAGCCCTTGGGTCTTGTCACCCACCTGTCCCACAGAGACTTTCCCAGTGACCCCTCCCTTCCTCCCAGGATTCTCTCCCTACCCCTACTCCCCATGTCATTAAGTGATATCAAGACTAAGAACGTGACACTGGTTTTAGGTCTTTATGGGCTAATGTACTTTCATTGTACTCTGATTTCGTTGTCAAATTTGACACTAGAAAGGTGGCCTCCTTTCAAAAGTAAGAGGCATTCTCTTTAGATACATAAAAGATACATATAAGGACTCTTAAAATTAGCATGATATGTGGAAATATTACAGATCCAAAACATACAATTACTCAACCTCTCTAAAGGTTTTAAAACTTTAGGGGCATATCAGAAGTGTGTGGAGTATAGTATGCTATCTTTGTCAGTTTATTCTGAAAAATAGGACAAAGCACAACAATACACAGATCAGAGCTTGGCCAGGAATCTTTACAAAGATGGTGGTAGTCGTGTGATTGAGCTGTCAAATCATTCTTACGGAGATAACCCTATCATGGGATGCTGTTTGGAGACTTAAATTGTCTATTTAGGTAAATCAAAGACCTATTGAAATTTTTTCTTTATTACTGATTTGTAGTGATTTGTGTGTGTGTTTCTGTAAGGAATCTAATAGAATTTCAGGGCTGTCAAATCCTACAGAAATCTTAATGCTCATTTATTTCTTTTCATTTTTGGCATTTGAAATATTACTTTATACATTGTGCTCATGTTAAGTATTGAGTTATTATACTGATGATATTATTAAGTCAGTAATTACTTAACCTCTTAACTTATCAAGAATTCCATTTAATCCTGAATAAGCTTAACTCTATTTTAATAAATTCATTTTATAGAAATTTGCCATTACAGAGCATACAAAATTGGGATCACATTTGTTATACTTTAAGTGAAACCTCTTATAATTATGTTTTTTGAGATGCCCGTGGGGCCTCCTTGTTCCTGGCACTCAACCCCATGTACAGTTCCACCCTGGTGGACCAGAGCTGGCTAAAGATGGGGGTGGGGTGGGCAGGGGTGGGCAGCTGGAATTAGCCTATGTAGTAGATTCCTTTGAACCTTTTAAAACTTTTTATGGAAAACTTTATGACTCCTACAAAAACCTGTTTTGGATATTAAGGCTCTAAGTAAGTGTGCTGTGGACTGAATGCTTGTGCCACCCCCCCCCACCCCCATTCATATGTTGGAGCTCTAATCCCCAAGGTGATGCTATTTGGAGATGGGGGCCTTTGGGAGGTGAGGCCTTTGGGAGGCGATTGGTCATGAGCATGGAGCCTTCATGAATGGGATCAGTGCCCTTGAAGAAGAGACACGAGACAGGGGACCTCTTTCCATCATGTGAGGACTCAGCAAGAGGGCAGCTGTCTGCAGACCAGGAAGAGGGCCTCCCCGGACACCGAACCTGCCCCATGATCTAGGCCTTCCAGCTCCCAGAGCTGTGAGAAATAAGTGTTGGCTGTTAAAGCCACCCAGCCTACGGTACTTTGTTACAGCAGCCCAGACGGGCTAAGACAAGGTGTATTTGTTTCTTATTGCTGCTGTAACAATCACCACACATCAGTGGCTTAAAACAACACATATTTATCATCCTGTACTTGCGTAGGTCAGAAGTCCAAAATGGGACGCCCTAGGCTGAAATGAAGGTGCCGGCAGGGCTGTGTTCTTTTCCGGGCAGGCTCCAGAGGACGGTCCATTTCCTGGCCGTTTCCAGTTTGGAGGGGCTGTCCTCACTCTTGAGTGCCTTCCTCCGTCCTCAAAGCATCATGAGCTTGAGTCTTCCCACCGCATCCCTGCGACTCGCTTCTGCCTCCCCGTTCCACATGTAAGGGTCCTTGTGATTCTAAAGGGCCTCCCTACCTAGTCCGATTTCAAGGTCAACTAATGAGCAATCTTAAGTCCATCTGCTCCATTAATTCCCTGTCGTCATGTAACATAACACAGTCACAGGTTCCCAGGATTAGGGCTTGGCCATCTTTGAGGGAGGGAAGTGGTATTACTCTGCTTCCCACAGTAGGTGTCATCCTTTCGGGATTACGGGTATGCAGTGCTCACTGTTTATCCAACATTTAGTAAAGGTTTTTGAGGCTCTGCTTTGCCCAGAAACAGTGCCTGACAAGCTCTGGGAAAGAGAGAGTGAGCGAGGGCCCTTCCTCCTCTAGGAGCTTGCAGTCCGGTGAAGGGACGTCAGTCCATAGCTAGTCCTGTGGTCACCACGAAGGAAGAAACGCTGAAATAGATGCCTGTGCACGAATGGGTCTGGCTGTACCTGGGCGTGTGGAGGGGTGTAGGGAGGAGAAGAGGGCCTTGGAGGAGCAGGAACCCGCCATGGAGAGAAGGTGGGCAGGGCACTCCAGGGAAAGGGAGACCCATACGGGTGTGTATTGGGAAGCCCTGGGACTTGGAGTCTGGGGGAGTGTGGCAGGGACTGAGGCCACACGGGCTTTAGCAGCTGAACTGTGCAGGGCCTTCGTGCTGTATTTGGGAGTTTGGACCTGACCCCGTTGGCTAGGCCCAGAGGTTACACGTTGGCTGCCTTTCGGCACATCAGCCCACAGAGCTGCTCCCTTTGGCTGCCGTGCACTTTAAAGCAGAATTCCCCACCGCCAGAGGCACTGCACCCACCCGCTCCCCTCGCTTTGCTCACTTGTCACCTGGCCCCTCGTGGGCAGGGGTGGGAAGAGGATGAACACTGCTGAACGTTTTAAAACAGGAGAGTAACTTGATCAAATCTTGCAGGTGATGCCGTAAATACCTTGCCCGTCTCTGAAATTTTTCCCCCCAATACCCTTAAAAGTCCAATTTTATAATGCAGTTTAAGTGGGAACAGGAATGGGCGTGGGAGGAAGGCAGCGGTGGTGTGGGGGAAACATGCCGAACTTGAACTCAGTCTGACTTCGAATGTGAGCCCTGTCACACACTGAATGTGTAACCTTGGACGAGTCACATGGCTCCTGTGAGGTTCCCAACAGGTGACTGAGCAGTGAGATCGGGGACCCCCAGGGCTGTGGGGAACAGAACATGGTCGCATAGGGGCACGTACCTGACAGCAAGGGACACTGGACAGACTCAGTCATTGGTACCTGATCCTTAAGTGAGTATTGGGGCAACACTTGATTTCTTCTTTGATTCTTGCTCTTGAAATGCCTGAGGGCACTTTTCTGGATTGCACTTATTGGTGTAGACTGTGGGAAGCCTAACTGAACCGCTCCTGACCTATCCCCAGACAAACGACACATGTTTCTGTTGTGAGAAATACCATTGTTGTATTCAGACAGATATGCCCATTCCACAAACATTACGGGCCCCCTCCTGGGCTTCATGTTGTGTTGAGAGCTGAGGGGAGCTGTGCGGCCCCTCCTGTGTGGCTCATAACACCGCTGACCAGCACGCATGTCACAGATAAGCCAGAGGATGGCCGGGCGTAACTAGTGCCAGGTGGGCGGTGCCATGGGTGCTTTCAAGTTCAGAGCCAAGCGAAAATTGGCCTGAGTTGGCCTTGACAGAAAAGCCTTCGTGGGGAAGATGGACGTTCAGCAGGCACTCAAGGCTAGGGCTGCGTGTGTGTGTGTGTGTGTGTGTGTGTGTGTGTGTGTGTATGTGTGTGAAGTTCAGAGGGCAGGAGGAGACTCGTGTGAACAGTGGTCCAAGGATGGAGAGGCCACCAGCTTAATCATTGTCTCCTGGAAACACTTCTATCCCTGGTTTCTTCCTATGTCTGCTTATTTTATTATTATTTTTTTTTAACCTCTAGGTTGATGCACGGGACTTGACACACGGTAGGGGCTTTAGCTCAGATTTTTATGATTCCTGAGGTCAGCCATCACAGATAGCATCCTGTGTCCTCTTGTGTCTTTGTCATCCCAGGAGGCAGGCCATAGGGACGATGGGGACATGCTGTGGAGGGATAAATCGTACCTCTGAGTCTCGTAACCCTGGTGCTGGGCACAGCCCTTCCCGTGAAAGCGCAGGCGTCAGCCTGAGGATCCATCCCCTGGAACACTTGAAGGAAGGAATGTGTGTCGGGAAGATTGTGGATGTGACACCACAGAAAGGAATGGGCCTTTATTGAGGGCGTGCTGTATAGACACTAGACAGGCATTGTTTCATTTGATCTCAAGGTCCTTGGAGATCATTTCTTCATAATGTCATAGGTCACAGTTACAGGAGAAAGGAACCATTAATAAGACCCAGGCCCAGGAATCTGGCGACTTCCCCACAGTCACCTAACGAGCGAGTGATTGTGCCAGAGTCTAAAACCAAAGTTGTCTAGTTTGTAGCTTCAAAATCTTTCTACAACCTACGTTGCATCCTCTGTAATTTAAAATGGATTCCATGTGATTGTAACATTTCTATCTATCTAAGCTAGGTTTTCTTTTTCCTTTTCATTTTAGATTTCGCACATTGGCAAACTGAGAGATTTTCTTCTGGAACACAGGAAAGATTATATTAATGCTTATAGGTAAGTGCGTGTTTTTACCACAACTGCCAGCCGTGTTCTTGTCTGCACCTATATTGCTTTCGAGCTTTTTATTCTCACCTTCTTACCTAATATCTCGGGGTTGTAGCGGGGAAGATGGGTTTGGCAGCCGTGCCTGTGGAGCAGACGGGAGCTCCCGCAGCCAGGGGGGACTCCGCCATCCCCGCGTCCTGGGCCACCTGTCCCCACGGCAGCATCTTCTGTCCTCAGACGCCCACTGCTGCGTGGGTCGTACACGTGAACATGCAGGCGTGACTGAGACAGCCTCTCGCTCGATAAATATGTGTTAATCAGATGAAGGGACGCTGCAGGTCACATGAAAATGCCATTTGGCGAGATGAGCTGTTGCCTCCAGGGAGGGTTTGGTTAGGCTGCTCTCCAAAAAGAGAGAGCGCATCCTGATGACGCGCCCACGGGGGCTTCTGGAATAGACTCAGCTCTCAGCAGGCACGGAGTCAGCGTCGCAGAGCGGACCTCCTCTTCCCTGACCCACATTTGCGCCTGGTGTTGGTATGGCGGCTCTGCCACAGGACACCGCTTCCCGTGTGCCATGTCAGCTGGTGGGAAGGTGGGATTGGCCGTGCGAAATGACGGGCATCGGAGCGTCTCATCTTCACAAAAGAAACCAGGGTGTTTGCACATCAGAAGCCTTCCTCTCACAAAGTTAGAAAATATAAAAGAGATCCTCTGATCTTTTAAAAACCTTGTCCATATATGCAAAGATAAAAATATTTCATATAAACTCTTTAACAGAGAAAATCATTATACCTCAGGTGAATTTTGAATTACCCCTGCCACTTTGTCTACTTAAACAGCATAGGCACCTTGATACTTTTCAGTGTATTTCATTTGTATAATTTCGGAATGTACTAAAATTATTATTCTGTTGCGTAGTGCCAAAAATTATTATTTTAACGCATAGGACCAAGAGGACCTTAAGTTTAAGCTCTTAGTTCAAATAGTTGGTGAACACTAGGTGGCAGTGTAGATTCTGCTTCTCACAGTGTGTTTGTCTATCAAATACTGATTTTATAGTCCATAAAAATGGAGGCTGCGGTCATTTTGGGAACCTTAACAGCACAGGTACAAACCCTCGGTTTGCAGCTCCTTTGTTTGGTACCTGGCAGCTTGGGTCACAGGTGTGGTCACAGAGCTTTCATGAGCTCCATTGTTAACTTCCCTTTGCCTTGAAAAGCCATCCAGCAGGTGAAGGCTTTAATGTTGGTTTCCTTCAAGCCACCCTCCCCCGCATTCGCTGTGTGAGCCTAAAAACATCATTTAATCTGTAAAGCCCAGTGTCTTCCCCTAGACCAGGCCTCAGCAAATTACAGTCTGCAGGCCAAGTCCAGCCCGCCGCCTGTGTTTGTACAGCCTGAGAGCTAAGGATAGTTTTTACATTTTTAAATGGCTGGGAAAATAATATTTGACCACATATGAAAATCATATGAAATTCAGATTTCAGTGATTGTTAATAAAGTTTATTGGAACACCGCCACGCCCATTCGCTGACCTCTATCTATGGCTCCTTTGCTGCTGCTGCAGCAGAGCTGAGCGGCTGTGACAGACCACGTGGCCTGCAGAGTCTAATGTATGTACTACCTGGCCCTTTCCTGAAAACATTTGTGGAGTCCTGCTGTAAATAATGGGGGTGTTGGGAGATTCAAACAAGACAGTATAATTGAAATGCAGTGCAAAAAGAAAAAAAGCAATGGATTTATAAAAAGATTATCATATTAGGGTGTTATAAGTTTGTCGTATAACTTGGTCACTGTAATTTTTGTAACTTTGCAATAGTTTTAAACTTTTGGTTATAACACTGTTACTAAAACAGTTCTCCTGGAACAGCTGTTCCCACCCCTGTGTGCCTGTGTTCCCAGGCCACCAGGGCACAGACTCACTCCGAGTCCCTTTCTCTGCCGTCCCTCAGTCTAGCGGGCCTTCCCCTTTCCCAGCACGGATGACTGCAAATGCGGGGACTGAGGATTGAGATCCTGGGGAGCCAGTCCAGCTCTGACACTTACAGGCTTTGGGACTTGAGCATCAGGAAGAACTGGAGAGCTCCTGAGGCTTTTGTGGTCCTGACCAGCCCATCGGCCCTGTGTGGAAACTCAGCCTTTTACTCACTGTCCTGGTCACAGCCAGTCATCTCCAGCACGTGCACTCTGAGCTCCATTCCTAGCCCTGTTTGGTCCCTCCGAAAGAGCACGGGCTTGGGGTCGGTCACACCTAAGATGCAGCCTTAGCTCTGCCAAGTGTTAATCGTGTGAGTGCGCGAGGCTCACTTCACATGGTGCTTGTTTTCTTCTTCATAAAACGTGAACAATATTCCCATGAGCTGCGTGTGAGAGTTCCTGGCACACACGGTCCCTTAGGGAGTGATAATTGAATCGGAACCCCATCTGACCTATGATGCAGTTGGGGGTGGTCATTTAAAACAGGAAGAACCTCTATTTCCTGCCAGAGAGAGGTGGGATGCGGGCGTCAGGTCCCCATGACAGAAGTGGACGTGTCATCAGTTTTGTCACTAGGAAAGCCTGGGGTAGCAGGCAGAGCTTAGGTCTGCGCGTGGTGGTGGCCGTGATGAGGGCTCCTGAATGAAACACACTCAGCTGCAGGTGCCACTAGACAGTCACAGTTCCTGGAGCACAGACAGCAGGGACAGGCCCCCCGATGGCATACGGGAGCGGAAGAGAGCAGCACCCCTGCTGTCTGTGACAGGAGCTGTGGCGAGGCGTGTGTGCGTGCGTGCCTGTGCCTGCTCAGGCCCGGATGCCCCTGCCTGTCGAAGAGAAGCCCCGCCCCTGCCTGGGAGCAGCAGGCCGGAGGAGGCGGGGCGTCATCCTGGGGGCGTTGGCTCTGACTCCCGAGGAAACATGAGGGCTGGGGATAAACATTGCCCTCCACGCCCCGTGTTCTCTCCAGGTGGAGAGAGGCGGCCCTTCCCTTCCCCCAGGGAGCTCTGCCTCCTTCCTGAGGCGCAGACTGTCAGTCAGAGCCCTTCATTTTTATTTTACACCTGCCTCCCAGGCATGGTGCTGGCCGTGGCGTGCTCCTCGGGGCATTTTGGATGGAGGATGGTGGTAGAATTGAAAGAACACCTTTAGAAATATTGCCTTCAGACCCATAATTAGGAAGCTGTAATTTTTTCCGTAATGTAGACCTCAGATTTCATTGACCCATTTAATTTTTTAAATAATGACATTTTACTAGAGAACAGCATGTAACCTAGGTAGCCTGTGGCTGGATCTCCTGAATGACTTTATTTAAAAGTAATTTCTCCCCTCTGGTAGATGTGCCTTTTCTGCAGTATCCTGGCAACAAAACAATACCAGTTGGGGAAAAACTTCCTTGGTTTCTATTGTTGTTACTAATAGAATAACCATACTGTTAATTTCCAGTTTAAAAGGTTAACTTATAATGAGTCCTAAGGGAAGATCACCTTTTAATTGAGTAATCAGTTTTATCAAATTAACCTTTAGGCCTTTTCCATGTCACTGATATGAGGCTCCATTAAATCCAAACGTGGCGGAGGAAGGTGGTCATCTAATGCTCCTGGAGTTCGTCATCTGTAGGTCTGTTGTGACCACGGGGTGCGTGTTCCCACAGACGCGAGTACCTGTCTGAGGTGTGTGCCCTCGCCCCCTTGTCCTCCGCGTTCTGCTGGGGACCAGCGCGCACCCGGCCCTCTGCGCCCCACTCGCGCTCCTCAGCCCCACTTCCCGCCGCCGGGCCTCCTGCCTCAGCGGGGTGCCTTCGTTAGGGTTACCGTGTTAGCAGATAAACTAGTGAGGGAACAAGATGCCGGGAGTGTGCGCATAGGGAGGTACTTGTCTCACCCCTCACGGTTCTCCGAGGGGGACCGTCCATCCCCCAGGAGCCTGTGGCCTTCTTCTCTCCTTCATCTGTCTCAGAAAACGTGGAGGAGGGCGGGGGGCGGGGCAGGGCCACAGGTGGGGGGAGAGGAGAGCAGCCAGCGGCTCGGAGGCCCCCGCGCGGCTCCTCCCTCTTCTCCTTGGGCGGGGCCTGCTGTCAGGACCGCGCATCCCCGGCCCATCCGTGCCTTCGGTGTTCCAGTGAAGGCTCTGGAAGGGGGGAGCCCGCGCATCTTGGGGCGGGGTAGACTCAGTTCTGGGGGGACCCGTCACGGAGCACAGTGGCTGTATGTCGAGCCCCTTCTCCAGGTCAGCCTCATGCTTGGAAAGTATTTGGTTATTGATTTGTTGATGTATCAGCCTACTCTGTGCTGGGCAGTGTTCTTGATGATGGGGGTGCAGTGGTGAACAGACAGACAGAAGTCTTCGCCTTTGTGGAGATTGTGTTTTGCAGAAGACAGACGAGAAGCAAGAGAAACAAGTCAAATACGTAGCGTGTTAGAGAGGGGAAGTGCTTTTGGCGGGGGGAGGAGGAAAAGGGAATACAACATGTCAGGGAGGGTACAGTTTTATAAAGGTGAGTTAGGGAAGGCCTCATTTAGGTGTTGAGTAAATATCTAACAGCCATAAGGGATCAGTTTATATAGATATCTACGGAAAGAACATTCCAGAAAGAAGAGACAGCAGCACGTGTAAAGGTCCTGATGTAGGAGTGTGTCCAGATGTTCAAGGAACAGCAAGGAGGCTCGTGGGAATGTAGCAGGAGCGACAGGGGAAACTTGAAGGTGAACTCAGGAGCCCATCCTGTGAGGGCCTTGACTTTCCCTCAGGTGGGGAGCCCTGGAAGGTCTTACATGGATGACTGATGGGACCTGACTTGCTCTGCGACAGGATCAGTAAGGCTAGTGTGTCAAACAGACTGAAGAGGGACAAGCAGAAGCAGCAGAACCAGGCGGCTGCCCTTACAGGCCAGGCGAGGGGCATCAGCGGCGTGGAGCGGAGAGGTGGCAGTGGATGCGACGACCAGAGAGGGCGCGCCAGCCAGACGTGCCGATGGGTTAGATGTGAACTGGGAGAGAGCGGGGAGTCCGGAGCGACCCCAGGCCGGGG